TTGTGTGTGTGTGTGTGTGTGTGTGTGTGTGTGTGTGTGTTGGGCAGCAAGCACTTTACCCACTGACTGATCTTGCTGGCCCCTTGTCACCTTGTCATACGTTCTGGAATGTTCTAGAACATATACTTATTTCTTTATTTCAGAACATTTCTAGCTATCCTGCAGTGTTTTTTTTAGCCAGTATTTAGCACCATTTTGACAATTTTTCCTAAAGTCTATTGTGCTTTCCTTGGGGTTGCTTTACTGTAAGAGGTGCCTTTCTGACAGTCAGTCTAGGAAGAAGCATCTCTCCACTGTTCTATTCTGTCACTGTGGCTCTAAAGCTAAATTTATTCTCTGGGATCATATATATCATTGTTGAAGGGTTTGTTCTTCTATTATGCTAAATATTACTTCTTTATAAGGAAGCTAATGATTATGCTGATAATCGGAATATGCCTTCCATTTTGTATGTCTGCTTTTGTGTTTTGAAATTAGGTCTTACTATGCAGCCCAGGCTGGCCTCCAATTCCTGATCCTCCAGCTCAGCCTCCTGAGTGCTGGGTACCATAGGTGTACCCTCCCATGCCCTGCTCTAGAAGGTCCCTGACATTTCAAAACTAAGCATAGCCCTAATTTTGGTCAGGGATGTTTATACTCCTTTTCTGTGCTATAATGTGACTTTAAAAATGAAGAAATTCAAATAAACACAAACTAATGTCTGGTCCAGGGTTCTGAAAACCAATCCATGTATTTTTACTCCTGACCCTCCTGCAGCCTTCTGCAGGTCTGGGAGCCCCTGTAGCACGCTGCAGGTCTGGGAGCCCCTGTAGCACGCTGCAGGTCTGGGAGCCCCTGTAGCACGCTGCANTTTTCTCTGTCTTTCTTTCTCCCCCTTCCTTAATAAATACTTATGGCTATTTCCTGTGTTTACGTGTCTGTTACCTGCCGCCACCGTGGGCCAAGGAAGCGTGCCCTCCTGTAGCCGCCCTCATGGCGGGCTCCCTCCGCCAGCCCGCCTGGGGACAGTTTGTAGCAGCTCTCTCATCGTTTTTTAAGAATAACAAAGATTTTCCCACATAATCCATCTTAAAATGCCCCAAAAAATATCACTAACTATAAGTATAATCTTGTATAACAGAACTCTAGAACTTCCTGTTAGGAAGTTTCCTAAAACAAGCTCTCTGCCAACGCAAAAATCCCAATCAAGCCAAATCACAACAAGCCAAATCCAGGTTTTGATGGGATTCCTGCCCTCTTGGGTAGCCCGGAGGGGAACACGGAAACCAAGGATGCCGCCATGGGGGGTGGGGACCACACAAGGACTTTCCAGGAAGCAATTTAAATAGACTGGGGGAAAAGTGGTCAAGGTTTTGGCGGGCTACCTTGCCCCTCCTTGAGGGAGGGGCCAAGGTTTGGCGGGCTGCCTTGCCCCTCCTCAGGGGCGGGATCAAGGTTTGGCGGGCTCAGGGAACTTCCTCTAAACAAGTTGGAAAATAGGTTTTGCATTTACTTTGCCTGTACAATTTTCCAATCAGAAAATGGAGAGTAAGATATGTTAAAAGAATTTCCCCACACTCCAGTGCAATCTTGTCCAGTCACAATGGAAATCAGCGGGACAATTCCTCAGAAAGATGGGAATCAATCTACCTCAAGATACAGTTATAGCGCTTGTGGGTACACACCCAAAGACTGCTTCATCTTACTAAAGAGACTCTTGCTCTTTGCTGCTCTATTCACAATAGCCAGAAATTGGGAACAACCCAGATGTCCCACAACTGAAGAATGGATAAAGAAAATGTGGTACATCTACACAATGGAGTATGACTCATCTGTTAAAATACTGACATCATGAGATTTACAGGCAAATGAATGGAACTGGGAAAAAAATCATCCTGAGTGAGGTAACCCAGACCCAGAAATATAAATATGGTATGTATTCACTTCTATGTGGATATTAGCTGTTAAGTAAATGTAAGCAAGCTACAATCTGTAGCCCCAGAAAGGTTAGGTATGGAGGAAGGGACTGGAGGGGTAGACGCATAGATTCCCTGAGAGGAGGAAATACAATAGATGTTCCAGGTGAACTGGGGGCAGGCAGCACTGGAACTGGGGCATCAGGAAGTGAGGGATGCAGGGAGAGAGAACTGAGGGCAATTTGAGGTGTATGGAAATAGTGCAGTAGAAACTTCTTAAAATATATAAAGCCAGTCCTAATGAGTCTCCAAAGGGTGGGGGAGACAGAGTTACAACTGGCCATCTCTTGTTGCCATATGAAACTCCAGAACTGGGATTAGGTTACATTCAGTTGAGTTGTTGGCCGAAAGGGGTCCCATGAAAATCCCCAAACAACTCGGGCTGTTGTCAAGACTATAGGTTGCTCTCCACAACATGACAGCAAAGGCCCCAGTTTTGAAGACAATACCAGCATAACTCATTGAACACGGAGTAGCTGATCTGGTTGAGCTGAACATAGAATCTTCATGCCTGTGTTCTAGTGTCTTTGGTATGGGAAGGAACTCTGCAGGCTACCACAGGAGAAATACATACACCAACCTGGCCACAAAACTTTTGATTTACAGTGCTGTCCTGAATGCAAAATATGCCAGGGCAATGGTGGCACAAAGCTTGTGGGAATAACCAACCAATGTCTAATTTGATTCAAGGCCTGCTCTTCAAGATGGACCTCATACATGACACTGCCTGGGTGACTAAGAACCGTAGACTTAGATAGCCCAGAGACCTAGGGTAAAACAAATACTACTCATCTTAAAAAAAAAAAAAAAAAAAAAAAGTAGTGAGCTGGGCAGTGGTTGTGCACGCCTTTAATCCCAGCACTTGGGAGGCCGAGGCAGGCAGATCTCTGTGACTTCCAGGCCAGCTTGGTCTACGAGAGCTAGTTCCAGGACAGGCTCCAAAGCTACAGCAAAACTTTGTCTTGAAAAATCAAAAAAAAAAAAAAGTAGTGATATAATGATATTCTGCTATACTCATTGATCGGTGCCTTATTCAGCTGTCATCAGAGCAGCTTCCTCCTGAAGCAGATGGAAACAAATGCAGAAACTCATGGCCACACGTGCATGCGTGCACACACGGACACACACATACGGGGTAGGGGGAGAGCACGCGTGGAACACACAGCTCTAAATGGACTGTCTCCTTCAAATCCCTCCCCTCAAGGCTCAGGGAACCCCGAGGAAGAGGCTTTGAAGAGTATAAGAGTCAGAGGGGCTGGGGGACGTCAAGAAAACAAGGTCCTCCAAACCAACTGAACAAGGCTGGTATGAACTCACTGAAGCAACAAACTCAGACCTGAACAGGTCTGCCCCGGGTCCTCTGCATATACACTCTGGCTTTCAGGTTAGTGGTTTTTAGTGTTAGTTCAGGGACTCCTGAGTGTGTGAACGAGTGTGTCTCTGATTCTTGTTGGGCTCTTTTCCTTCTGTTGGTTTGCCTTGTGTAATTTCGATATGATGGGTTTTGCTTTATCTTATATTTTATTTTGTTATGTTTCATTGTTATCTCTTAGAAGCCTGTTCTTTTCTGATGAGAGACAGACAGGGAGTGGATCGGAGGGGAGGAGAGATGGGGGAGGACCTGGGAGGATTAAAGAGAGGGGAAACTGTATGAGAAAAGAATCTGTTTCAGTAAAAAGGGAATAAAGTTTGATTTGAAAGCTGAAATAAATTAGCCACACTCACTCATGAGTGTGAATCAGGGTTCAAAACCATGCCCGTGTATTCCTAAAGCCTTCCTGTCTTCTGTCTGCCCAGTCTTTGCTAGTTCCCCTAGGAAACGTTTCTTTCAATGTTATTAAGCAGAACTCTTCTAATAAGAGTTTTACATTCTATTCTATTTGTAATTATTGTATCATAATAACATATTACATTAATACAATATGTAATGCAGTGAATAAATTATATCTATATAATGATTACTTTGGTAATTGAATTACATGTAATTATGATGTTACTCTATCATGATTATACATTACCACAGTCCCTTTTTTCTTCAAAGTACTTCTGCTTTTTTTTTTGTTTCATTTCTATGGCTTCTTTTTTATATAGCTCACGTAGTCATTAACATTTCTCATAATAGGTGATAACTGAAACTGAGGGAATTGCATCCCTTACCTAAGATAAAAATAGGTTCGTTGTCATTGGCGAAACCAGAGACATTTTGATCCTGATCGCAGGGCCACATTCTATCCGTGGCTGTTTCATCATCCTTATGTTGTTTTATTTGCTTGTTTGTTTGAAACAGGCTCTCTCTATACTGCCCTGGCTATCCTGGAACTATGTGCACCAAGCTGGCCTTGACTCACAGAACTCGGCCTTTGCCTCCCAAATGCTGGGATTAAAGGTTTCTCAATGTACCAGCTGTCATACTTTTTAGTGATCATACAAGATAATAGTTTTCTTTATAATATTTTCATACATTTATATCATTCTGCTTTGCTCCTGTTTTCCCCCATCATCTTCCCTTATTCCCCTTACCGATTTCTGATGGCTCCTACATAATCCACTTTCTGCTTTCACATAGTATATAAAGCACATATATGCAATATTCATATATATTTAAAATACAAGTTCTACATATGAGACAGAACATGATATATTTGCTGGTTTCCCCCCTTCTTGTTATCATTTTTGTTCTTGCTTACCCCTTCCTTTAGGCCCCTTCACCCCCCGCCCCCCCATGTAGCTCCCTTTCTACTTTTTTTTTAATTTTTTTTTTTTTTTTTTTTGGTTCTTTGAGACAGGGTTTCTCTGTGGCTTTGGAGTCTATCCTGGAACTAGCTCTTGTAGACCAGGCTGGCCTTGAACTCATGGAGATCCGCCTGCCTCGGCCTCCTGAGTGCTGGGATTAAAGACGTATGCCACTACCATCCGGCAATCCCTTTCTACTTTCAAATCATATCTCTCTCTCTCTCTCTCTCTCTCTCTCTCTCTCTCTCTCTCTCTCTCTCTCTCTCTCTCTCCTTCCCTTTCCCTCCCAAATTCCCATCCAGGTATGCTCACCTGTAACAATGGGGTAGGACTGCGGGCCTGGCACGCTGCTTCCGATGTCAGCAGGGGTGGGGCTTGTCAAGTTAGCTTTCATGTCGTCCAGGCCTCCAGCCAGCGAGGCCATGGCTGAATACTCTGTGGTCTGAAAGAGGAAGCAGACATCTCAGCATGTAGCCTAGAGGCACCCTGATCAGATGCAAGGCCATGATCTGTCCACAGAGGTCCGGGAAACCCGGGCGGAAAGGGCAGACGCAGCTCAACGGAGCAGCACATGTCTCAGAACCGACCACTGCTCCCAGGTGAAAAGATGGGCAAGAGTTCACACAGCATCGCAAGAAGTCAGATCTAACCGACAGATTCCCCGGCTCAGCCCCAGAGGCCAGGGAGGGCGTCAGAGCAAGCATGGCAGGAATAAGAGTGTACTTGCCAAGGGCAGGGGCAGCCTGGTTTCTGGTTTAGGGGCTCTCAGACCATAGGGTGGGACCCCAGAAACAAGCGTTAAGAAGGAGTTTGAGGAATCACCCAATCCAGACCCATTTCATAGATGGACAAACTGGAGTCCAAGAGAAAGAGGGCTGGGTCCTCAGAAGATCAGAGAGACTCCCGATCCAGGGGCTAGCTGATGAGAAGTTCCAGCCCTAATTCAGCCCATAGAGCCACAGTTTGACGAGTGACTTTTGGATCCTGGAAGTCTGTGAACACTTGTGTGCTAAACGTTCCAGGCACAGATGTCAGATTTATCAAACCCACGACAACCAGATGTGCTGGGCAGAGTCGTGTCCATTTCTTTAAGTCACTCATGAAATCTAAGCCTGTGATGAGCCATCTCCTTGACATTGAAGCCATTGCAGAATGGCTTTCAGGGAAGGCAGAAAAAAAAAATACCAGCCTGGACCTTCTCACTCAAGGAAGGGCGGCACTATAATCATAAACGACATGTCTCCGCGCCCCTTCCAAATCCCACTACAAACATTGAAGGACAAAGATTTCGGTTGTGTGTCCCAAGTTTTGGCCGGGGGCTTCTCTGGAGCCTGGGCTTGCTAACGGCGGTCACATCCTGTCTGTTCAAGATGACCTACTTGGCAGGCGGGGACAGTAGCAGGTGGGTGAGGAGGCTGAGAGCCTGCGACTTGGGATAATGATGGTTGCTATTCCTGTGGCACCACTTGGCAGGGCCAGCGGGTGGAGCGGGACACACGTGCCCTGAGGAATGGTCCCCAGAAGAAGACCTTCCAGAGGAGGAGGAGGCACTGAGGTGGGACGGGAAGATAGCTAAGACCCGCTCCTGTCTTCACTGTGACTGGTCAATCTGTATGAGCATCCCCGTGCCCCTTCCCAAGGCCTCATTCTCCATCCCATGAGGCCATGTTTGTGCCTGGGGAGTTTGGGCAGGACCTGAAGCTGGCCCGATCAGGTGCCTTTGCCTTTTGCATTTAGGTCTCTAATCCACCTGGGATTGATTTTTTGTGCCTGGTATAAAGATCTAATCTCTCCCTTCTCCCCATTTCTGAATGGATAACCCGTTGCCCATTGCTGGTTATTAAAGAGTCCATCTCTTCCTGCTGATTTGTACATCTCCTTACCTATATATCAAGGTTCCGTATATGCACAGACGGCTTCCAGCCTGGATCCTGTTTCATTGGTCTATTTATCTCTCCTGGTGCCAATAATACACCATGTTAATTACTGCAGATTTCTAGTGGTCCCTGGTGCACATAGACCCGGGCCCCAGCCTGGCTTCTCCATGGAGTAGCCGGGCCTGCTATGGGCCTAGGGATTCTTTGCTACATGTTTTGGAATCAGCCTCTTCTGGAAGATGATTGACCAGCCCCGGGGGCTCTCTGAGCTGTCCTCAATGGCCACACCTCGGGACCCCAGCGCCTGCGGTCCCTCCCAGCTCCACTGCAGCCCGCAGCCCTCAGCCTCAGCCGGCAGTAATGCTGCTCAGGGAGCCCTTCCCAGCTTCCGGAGAATGCCATGTCAGGGACTTCACCTGTGCCTTCCATCTCAAGCCAAGTTCTGCCCATGAAGGAGGCTGTGTTATTCCACTTCTCAGTGCAAAAGCTTGAGACGTCGATTCCAGAAGAAACATGATGAACTTAGAGCCAAACAGCACCTCGGCCCCAGGATTCAAACATGGGTCCCTCTCACCCCAGCATCTTGACAGCTACCCTAATGGTTCTCTAACTGTGAGATCCAACCTGTAACAGTGATGCAATCAAACAGTTGGTTCCAACTACTTAAAGTGGAGTTTCTTTTTTGTTTTGTTTTCTTTTAGCTGGTTCTTGTTGCTATTTTGGGGGTTGTTTTGAGACAGGGTTTCATGTAGCCTAGGCTAGCCTAAACTTACTAAGTAGCTGAGAATGACCTCCTACATTCAGCTCCCCAGGGCCAGGATAGCGAGCATGGATCATAACACTCAATTTCCTGCTGTGCTGGGGATTGAACTTAGAGCTTCATGCATGCCAGGCAGGTGCTCTACCGGCTGAGCTATATCCCCAGCTCACTGGTAGCGGAATTAGAAGGCATAGAACAGAGACCAAGGCTTTCACACCTAGAAAAGTTAACCCCTATTTTGTAAATCATGGTTCACTTATGAGTGGGTAGAGGGGAAAATCCGTTTCCTGCTGCGAGTTAGAAACAGCAGCATTTGAAGAGCATTTCTGCATTCCATGCAGCAGGGAGCTGTTGGGGAAAGGTCGCAGTCCAGATTCCCTTCCTGTAAGGTGGAACTGTGGCTCACGCCCTAGAATGCTTCTGAGATAAAAGCTCCCCAGAGGCAGCTACCTCCTGCAGTGCACGGCCATGCCTCTAGGGGGCGTCTCTTTTGAGGTGGTACCTTTTAGAGCTCCTGGATGCCTGGACATGGGTCCTAGTTCCTCCTTCTGTGTTTCCCTGGATGCCGGAGCACAGTGAGTGTATGTTTGCTTCACCCGTGCTGGGCCCTGTTGCGTGCATGCGGGTGCGCGAGGCAGAAGAGACCCTCCACAAGCTCCCGGAGAAAGATGCAGAGCCTCAGAAAGTCCATCCAAGAGGGAGGAAAGCACCCGGCTGTTCATTCTCGTGGGGTGGGGTGAGGTCAGGAAAGGTTTCTGGGGGTGGGCTGAGCGAGCTCCATCCCTTGAAATGGAACAACTGAGCAGAGCTGAGAGGCAAGGGAAGGAGGGAGCCAGACAGGAATGGGGCACTGGCTGAGGGAGCGGACATGAAGGTAGGCCGGCTGGAAATGGACTACCATGGATCTCTTCCGTGGAAAGAAAGCTAAATAAGGAGCAGCTCCTCCAGGCCCTCAGCATCCAGTCAATTGTCAGCACAGCCCCCACACCTTCCCTGGCCACAGTCTCCAGGACTCTATCTGCAGACATGGATGGCAGCTGAGGCTATGCGGGAGAGCATAGGTTTCCCCCAAGGAGACAGAGCCATTTGCAAAAGTGTGGCTGATGGGGATTTCCTGTCTCTTCATGTATTTAAGTTTCCAGGTGGAAACCAATAATTGATTTTGTTCCGTGTCAGACAGCGTGAGTGCACAGAATCGCTCCTAACTGTTGGGTTCGCGAGACTAGGTAACTTTCGGCATGTGGCGAAGGCTCCCTATGCCGGTCACTAAAGCATTTCAGGAGGCAAAGAGAAAGAACCTCACTGAAGAGTTCAGGCTTGTGGGCGGTGGTTCTCACAAAGGAGGCTTTAGCAGCTCTGTCTCCACCCAGCAGGGGCCCAGTGCTGTTGCTGGGATTTGACAATTCTTCCTCTGCTCCTCTGGGAGCAGGCTACTATCTTTTATGGGGGCGCTCAGTTGTTCCTCCAGTCTATCCTCGGAACTGCCTGTGGTGTTCTCTCTCATCTCCAGGGCTTTCACAGGTTGGGCTTCCAACATTCCAGGCTCCTATCTGTCTCTGTCTGGAGGGGCCATCTCCGTATGAAAAGAGCTCCTACGCTGTCCATAGACCCAGCTCAAATCTGACCTCCTTGGTGAAGCCATCCCTGGTTCTATACCCGCCCACGAAATCATCACTCCTCTGCTTCCTCGCTCTGCTGTGGCTTCTTGCATGACTCTGTCATAACGCCTCCATAGATAACAGCTATTTGTCTCTCTCCTTTCAGAACACAGGGCCTCCCTACAGCCTCCCCGCAAGTGTGCACTGAATGAATGAATAAATTAATGAATGAATAAATTGTTCATCCACATGACATAAACTACAGATCTCAAGAATTTACTGTTGGCCAGGAATGGCAGTCCATGCTAATAACCTTAGCACCCATGAGGCAGGGAGATCCAGAGTTCCAGGCTAGCTGGGGCTACACAGTGAGATCCTGTCTCAACAAGCAGAAAAAAAAAAAAAAAAAAAAAAANAAAAGGTGAAGAGAGCAAACGCGACATACATAAATAACGTATAAACAAAAAAAAAAAAAAAAAAAAAAAAAAAAAAAAAAAAAAAAAGAATTAACTAGAAAGTTTTCAAACAGGAGCTCCAAGTGACACGGTAGCCCTGCCTCCTCCCGCTCGTACGCCTCATCAGGCCAGGTGATGGGAAAGCTGGGTCCCTGTCCAGTGTTGGTCAAAGTCATTGGAGAAGCACACTTATTAAAGACAATAAAAGAAAAGGGTCATGCAAAGGTATTTTTTTAACCTCTGGAGACACTGCCCATTAGAATATTCAAATTCCTTGTCCTTCCCTCCCTTAACTCCCTGGGGAAAAGGTTATTTCCCATGCTGAGTTGTTCATTTGCCTCTGACCAAACAACTAGCACATTAGAAACCCACTGTGTGTCCCCTTTAGCTTGGGCCAGCTGGAAGCTCAGTCAAACTCGGGGTTCAGCCAGCAGACCCACACCACTGCTGGGCCCTGGAACAACAGCCTCCCCTTTTCACTACAGTCCATTTGGACTCCCTCAGACGGACTTCAGATCACCTCAGACAAGTCCTCTGTGAAAAATGGGGCCTAGGAGAGATAGACTCTTGTAAAAAAAAGAAGACGAGAGAGGTGTAAAGATGAGCCAGAGACGAGAGAGGGCTCCTGGTGCCCCGTTCCTGGTAGAAATGTCTGTCTTCTTCCATTTCTCTGTTACTCGGGAAGCCGAGGGCAAGCCAATGGGATGTGAATGTGGAGGGTGCAAACAGACACACACTGTGTGTTGATACAC